AAAATTAATAACAATAATAATACAAGCTTAAAACCTATAATTGAAATTCACCCAAAGAAGTCGAAATTTTGCACCTGGCTTGCCTGGTTTATGCCAATATGCCCCTTAATTTTTATTCCTATGAAAGCCGTGGGATCAGATTTTATATTTTGATTCAAACCCATAGAGCAGTTTAATCATTAGTCGAAGCTCCAGTATATGATTCATTTGGGATGTAAAATTTGTTGGGAAAAAAAACTTGAAATGTAAAATTTTATAAAAGCCACTTGTGTGATGCTTTAAAATTGAGCAATACGAACAAAATTGTCTAATTGATTTACTTTTAGTTAGGTGTCCTTTTTGTCTCTTGAATTTTTTAAAAAGTCATTGGTCATTATAAACTTAAGGACTATTTAAAAAAACTACATTTTACATCCCAAAAGAATACACCCCAAAAGAACTTTTTAACTTTTGAGATGTAAAATGTTGTTTGGGAGAATTTTTTTTAAACAAAAGCATATTGAATAAGCACATTTGGAGATGGGCTGAATGTGAATTTTCAAAAGCTCCAGGAGGTTACTTTTCAAACGTGAATGTAGATTTGAGCATTATATTTGACGATGATACCCTCCATTGTTTTTTTCATTCTTGCCGTGAGCGAGCTCGTGTTTTGTCACTCCATCTCCACCATTCCAGAAAAGCTCATCGCAGTGGACTATTGCTGCCTCGCTAAACCAGGTGGCTATGACAGATCCTCCTCGACGAACTCGTGCGACCAAGCCTTGATCGAGAGAAAGTGGTGAAGAGCGATCTTCGTGCACGATGCTGATCTCCCCTCGTTTGCATTCTTTCTTTTCTTTTCCTTTTCCTTCGTTGCGTGCCAGATGATCTGCCTTTGAAAAGTCAAAAATATAATTTAAAATAAAAATGAATAAATAACCTTGGCCCTCCAATTTCTTAAAAACACAAAGTAATTAAAGTTAAATAAATCTAATGCAAGTGAACCAACTAAAGTTTTAAAAATAAGGATAAAAATTGTCCAAGTAATAAAATGGGTCAAGAAAATACAATTCTTAATGAAAAACATTTAATTTCAATAAAATATGTCAAAATTATAAATTATCATAAATCAATGTCCTTTTTGATAATTGAATATTTAAAAGTACATTTCACAAGCACAAATTTTTATTAATCCAAATAATTTTCAATTTGCTAAACTGACTTTTAAAAATACATATTCAAATATAAATTTCATTACAATAAAATAACTTTCATTAAACTGACTTTTGTTAAATGAACTTTTATTAAACTGACTTTTGACAAATTGAAAACCAAACACATACTTAATTGGATTCATCTTCAATGCTCATAATACTAATGATCACCTTTTTTTTTAATCACCATGATCACCTTTGTGCTCATCATTTTGATGAGATATGAACTATTTATATTTTTATATAAATAGTCTAGATTTAACATATTATTTTATATTTATTAAATAAAAAATTATAAATCGGCAAAAAATTAATGAATTTTTTATTCTTAACGTGGTCTAAATTTAATTTAAAGGATCAATTTGATATTATAATTTTTATATATTGGCAACCAAATGTACTTTATACAGTTTAGATTTAAAATTTTAACTTGTAATATTTAAAAAAATTACTTTTATATATTTAATTTTTAATATTATATTTATCAAAATAAAAATTATAAAAATATTTAATATTAAATTTGGATCGTACAGAATTCATTTAAATAGTCAATATATAAGAATTATGACAATTTTAATATTAAATTAACTCTCTAAATTAAATTTAGATCAGATTGATGATAAATATAAAATAACACTTTATATCTAAACCATTTAGATCAAAATCTTTATGATCCAAAATCTCATAAGTGTGATAAGCATTGAAGACGAGTCTA